TATTTCATATTGCTATTATTAATCATTTTATTATATTTTGTAAATGTTCATTAATTTTGCAAATTTGTCTGATAATCAACTACTCTACTGCATTCGCTTATTAGTCCAATAGTTTCTTTGATACTCTTGGATTTTTCCGAGTAATCATATCATCCACATGTTATTTATTTTATTTTCTATTGAAACATAATGATTACACATATTTGTGGGGTACAGAGTTGAATATTATTACTTGTGTATAATGTGTGATAATCAAATCAGGACAACTAGTATATTCATCATTACTAAATGTAATAATTCTTTGTAACCCTTTACCAATTTCTTGCTAACCTCCCTCCCTCTTTCCCAACTCTAGTAACTACAGTTCTGTTCTCTCCTTTTGAAAGTTCAACATATTATTGTAATTGTTGTTTCTTTCTTTCTTATTTATTTATTTTTTAGTTTCCACTTATGGCTGAGGACATGCAGTATTTCTCTTTCTGTGCCTGGCTGATTTCACTTATAATTTTCTCCAAGCTCATCCATGTTGCTGTGAATGGCAGAATTTCATTATTTTTTATGGCTGAGTAGTAGTCCATTGTGTATATATACTACATTTTCCTTATCCAGTCATCCTTTGATGGGCATTTAAGTTTGTTTCATCTCTTGGCTATTGTAAATAGAGCTGCAATAAACACAGGAGTGCAGGTGTCCCTTTGACATGATGATTTCCATTCCTTTGTGTATATACCCAGCAGTATGGCAAGTTCTAGCTATAGTTGAGAAACCTCCATACTGTTTTCCACAATGGCTGCACTAATTTTCAGTCTTACCACTAACGTAGGAGGGTTCACCTTTCTCCCCATCCTTGCCAGCATTTGTTATTGTCTTTTTGATAGTAGCTAGTCACTGGGGTGACACGATATATCAATGTGGTTTTGATTTGCATTCACCTGGTGCTTAGTGATGTTGAGCATTTTTTTTTTCATGTATATGTTGGCCATTTGTATGTTTTCTTTTGATAAATGCCTAGTCAGCTCCTTTGCTCATTTTTTAAATTGGGTTTACTTGTGTTTTCACTAAGTTATTTGAGTTCTTTGTATATTCAGGATATTAATCCCTTATCAGATGCAAAATTTACAAATATTTTCTCCCATTCTGTAGGTTGTCTATCCACTGCTAATTGTTTTCTTTGCCATGCAGAAGTTTTTTAGTTTGATATAATACCACTTGTTTATTTATTTATTTTTTTGCCTGTGCTTTTTGGGAAAACACAGTTTTCCAGCTAGAGATTTTTCTCAGCCTCCCTTGCAGCCAAGAATGGTCATGTCATTAGTTCTTACTAATTAAATATGAACAGAAGTGATGTATATAACTTCCCTGTCATCCCCTTAAAAGCATGTCTTGTCCAAAACATTTTAGTTCAACGTTTAAAAATCTAATTTCCTGAAGTATTTGCCCACAAAACTCATTCTCCACGAAATAACCACAAACATCTCACAAAATTCTAGTGTTTCAGGGACCAGGTTTGAGAAACACCAGTTTTTCGTTTTAAGTATGTTGTTTATGTTTTTTAAAAAAGTACTTTGTAGATCTGCTTTATTAATATATGCCTTATGAAGAAGGGGTATTGAATATTATCCAGTGCCTTTTAGACACTGAGATGATCTCTGTAACCTAGAATTGTGACTATTTAAAAGATTTATATTTTGAATTATTTTTGCATTTAGAAAATAAACTTTATTTGGTTATAGTAAAACGTTCCTTTAAAACAGTACCAAACTAATTTTGTTAACATCTAGTATTTTTGCACATACATTCACAAAGAAACATTAAATATGAGATAGGCACATGCCTAGACTCCATCATCATTGAGTGATTTTAAACGTTTTTTAGGATGCTGAGAGTTGTGCCAGCTTCAAAAATTAAGCAAATAAGCTCTTCCTCATTTTCTATGCTTTGAGTTTAAAGCACAGGAATTAGCTGTTCAAGAATTTTAAAAACTCATCCACAAATCTAAGTGGGCTGGATGCTTTTTATTTGGGGGTACAGAATTTATTTTATTTTCAGTCCTGCCTATATTGACCCAATTCAGTTTTCTATCTTTTTTGAGTTATCTTTTGTTTTCATTGAAAAGTGACTATTTCATTTTGGTATTAATATTTATTGGCAGCATGCAGTTGTCTAAAGTATTTTAATAATTTCTAAACCTCCCTTTAAAAATTCCAGCCTTATTAGTGGCACTATTCCCTTTCTTGTTACACTTCCCATAAATCTGTGAACTTTTTTTTGGAATTGCCAGCTTAATATTGTGAGAATAGTGTTTTTAACCAATTCATTAATTTTATCAATTTCCTTAAAATGTTTTTTTTCTAATTATTTTGCTTTTTTTACCTTCAGTAATTTCTTCCTCACAATTTTAATTACTTTTTCATTTCTAACATCTTCAAATAAATGCTTGGTTTATTTTCATACTTATTTAATTAAAATAATTTTCTTCTATAGCTTCATCTATATCTAAAAACTTTAATATATATAGTTTTTTCAATGCCATTACCGTCTAGTGTGTAACTGCAATTTTACCTTCCTTTTAGACTCTAAAAGGATTTACAAAGGTGATTTAAAAAGGTACTTTAAAATTTAAAGTTCCCTACTTTTGTTTTTTTTTGGGGGGGTAGGATAATATCCTTTAGCTACTTCTTTATTCTATCATACTATCTTTATTCTTTTTACTTTATCATACTATGTTTCCTTGTCCAAATTTAACTCATCCTCCTAGGCCCAACATATATGTCATCTTTCAAGAAACCTACCTTGCTGTTTTCTCTCCCTTCTCTAAACCTTTGTATACATACCTTATACATATCGTGTTTATACACGCTCTCCCTTCCCTTCTTCAACTCCCACCTTGAGGCTATTCGATTCATTTATGAGATTTGCAGCTTAACTCAGTACTTTTGAGTTTTCACAGCAAGATTTCATTCAATGTAACAAATATTTATTGAGAACTTATGCATTAGACATTTTATTAGGCCCAAGGAATAGCGTTAAATGGAAGATATAATCCTGGCCTTCAAGAAATTCAGTATAAAAGGAGGGACGACTAAACGTACTGAATATTCAAGTGAGCTTCAGGAGACTTGGTTTGGTAGTGAAGATAATATCGTGTATAAACAGCTCACAGAACTGGAAAATAAGGGACAGAAGCCAACAAATCCGTTCCAAACAGTTCAAAGGAAGAAAAGGACATGGAAGGACGGTTTCGGTACAGCTTCACCGTAAATAGCCTAATAATCCAACCCAATGATAATCCAAATCGTCCAGGGTTGGGGGCGGGTGGGGGGAATGCAAATTCACACCTGCTGGGATTAGAAAGAAGAAAAGGGGATTTAAATCAGCGTTTTAAACAAATCCCCCAGGTACACAGGCCGTTTAAAATTTTAAAACAGAGCGGAGACAAGTTTCACAGACTTCCCTCCCAAGCTATTCTCTCCTTTTAGCCGGACGACAACTGCCGCGTGCCCAACCGCCGCAGAACCCCAGCGGGAGGCGCAGCGCAGGGACGCTGACGCCAGCCCCGCAAAGGATTCGGGGGAAAAAGCATGTGACCAACCTAAAAGCAGGAGAGGAGGTAGGAAGGTTTCTTTGATTGACGGGAAATCTGCCCAATAAACACAGAGGACTAGTGAAATTCCGCCCTAATGG